CATTGGCAAAAGTCAGCACTCCCCCATTATATTCCACAGTTGTAACGTCAAGAAAATAGAAAATTTCATTTCACGCAACTTTCTTATGGACCGTTTGTCTAAAGTTGATCTTCCTTCTGATTAAACATCAATTCAAAGTGCCTTTCAGTCTGTGATCATGTCTGCTAGAATCAACTTTCCTGACATTGAGTCCTTCTCACCTAAACCTTGGTGGAACGCTTCCCTGTCAACACTTTTCCGCAAATACCAAGCTTGTAACGGCCGCGAACAAATCTTGGGTAGAGTGTCTGTCGGTCTGTGTCAACCGCAAGTATCGCAATAACGGCATGCCGTTAGGCAAAATCGTGTGCTTTTGTGGTACCGTTAATAAATCGCATGATCTTGCGGGATATAATTGTTTTGTTCTCCTCTTCTTTTCCCTTTCATTAAGATAGGCAAAATCATGTGATTTTGCGGTATTCCTTTTTTTTGCTTTTACAAGAACAGGCAAAATCGTGTGATTTTGCGGTATTCCCTTTTTCAAGAATAAGCAAGATCGCATGATCTTACGGGATTTTGCTTGCTTTTGCGAGAGCAGCGGCAAGCCGCTATAGAGAGCAACAGAAAGAAGAAGAGAAGAATTGAGCAGGGATGAGAAGTCTGTCTGTGTTTTGTTTCGAAGATAGAGGGGACAATTACTTGGCCTCTGCTGAGGTGCGGACGTGTCCGCGAGCTTGGTCTAAAAGCGGATAAATAAAACTATTTTTAAAATTGAGCCTTCAAGTGCAAAGAAAGAAAAAAAAAGGGACAAAAGACTAACAGCAACTAATGTGAGAGATCTTTTTAAAGTTCGCGTGTAAAGAAGGTAGAATAGCGCTTAAAGCTTACAGTTTTTCAAAATAATGTCTAAAAATAATGGAAAAAGAAGTTATTAACTAGATCTTTATTAAAGAAATACAAGTCGGCAGGGATAAAGTAATTGTTAAACGTTAAAAAAAGGGGTTTGCTTGCATCGAGTAAAGAAATGTGAAGAAATCATCATTACTGCTATTTTCGATAAATTTCCATGTGTGAAATATAAAAATGCATGTACGAATTAGTGTATACAAATTATGTAAAGAAATTGTGTATTTGATAGAAACAAATAATAAGTAAAATAACAAAGAAAATATTTAAGAAAAACCCATATACTAGGAGGCACATAAAGAGAAGTGTGTGTAGAAAAAAATATTTTTTTCAACAAAGCAATGACTGAAAGAGAAAAAAAATCTAATAAAAGCCACTCACACATGAATATCTGAATTCATTTGCAGAAACGACCCTCATATCAAAAAGAATAAAAGAAAAGCTCAAAAGCTATTAAAATTTTTGAAGAGTGATTGACAAATGTCTCCTAACTGAAGCAAGTCGTGAAAGAGAAACCAAAGCATAAGTGGATAAAGTTACCGTTTCTCTTCGTCTCGCGGTCACCAAGCAAAGCGCATAGCATTCGTGTGTGAATATATTAATTTTAAACGTCATTGACGCTTTTGCGAAATAATAAACATTAAAGAGAATGTAAATAAGATAAAATTATAAAAATTTTGTATCAAATATACTTCTTATTACAATAGCCTTTGCGAAATAATATACATTAAGAAAAAGTTGTTAATGTTGAAATATTTAAAAAGAAGAGAATTTACAAAAAAAGTGGTTACAATACCGAAGAAATAAAAACCAGAAATTTGATGTAAATAAATTAGAAATTATATCTCACCAAATGGAGTGGTTTTTTTTTTAAAGTAAAGAAGAAAAAATTAAATAATTAGAACGAAACGAACACAATCGGCCATAACAACGATAACAGCAACGGCAGCAGTAATATGACGTACATCATTGATCGTCAATGAAATACATAGTAAAATTCATTGAACAAACGCTTTAAATTACGCAAAAAAAAGGAGGAGGCAACACAACGAAGTAAAGAGGAAAAGGGGGGAATAAGAGAGCGAGAGTGTAAGAAGAAGGAACCAGATGATGTAAGCAGCTACCACCGCAGACACTAGCAACATACAGATTCACGGTCAGGTATTTTAATGCATTTATTTCCTTTTTGTTCTTTTTCTTGTCCCCTAGTTACGGAGGAGCCCCGATGTGTGGCTGAGGTCAGGTGAGGGAGTGTGCATGTGATGGCACCGTAGGGAGGACGTCGGACGGTTACAGACGGAATCACGGTGGACAGACGGACGATAGGCAACCGACGAGACTTTTTGTATTCTTTGTCATGAGGCTCAGAGAGCCAAACCCCGTTAACAAATACGCTCTACCGGCAACAAAGGGGCTAGTACCGTGACAAGCTGCAAGAAAAAAAATGAGTAAATATGCCAATCGAGCCAACTAGATTGAATATATGAAAACACTGAAAGAATGGAGGTCTGCAGTTAGAAAGGCGAAAAGGACACATACAGCCATCGCTATTAAAGAGTTATGTAGTAACGTCAACCCACGTGCCTTCTGGAATTTTATCAATGGTCATCGACATTCTAGTCGAAAATTAAGCGGTTGTGCTGTATGGAATGACCGTGATGATAAAAAATACTAAGATATGTTCAAGAGCTACATTCCAATTGTCAATGCTATTACAATGCCTTCAATTCCTTTTAGTAGTATCAGTAACACACCCTTTTCATTGCATGAGCTAATGTATGTTTTACATTCCAGAAAGAGAGCTACTGCTGCAGCTTGTGATGGAATCAAGTATGACATGCTCAGAGCACTGTCTGGAGGAAGCTTTAGCATGCTTTTGCGTGCAATTAACATCTGCTGGTCAACCAACTTTATATCCTCTGATTTGCGTTGCATCAAAATAGTTCCCATTCCCAAGCCAGGTAAAGACTTAAATGATTTAAGTAGCTTCAGACCAATTTCACTAATATCTGTATTCATAAAGACCATCAACCTCATGGTTAAGGAGAGACTAACTGCTTTCCTGAAAACTAAGAACATTATTCCAGCTCGTTCTTACGCCTATCAAAAACGCAAATCTACAATCGTGTGTTTTAACGAACTAACTTTTCTCATAGCTAGCTTAAAAAAAGCAGGGAAAATGGTTGTCATGTTCTCCCTGGACATCAGCAAAGCCTATGACTGTGTCAACTTGATTAAGCTTTGTAGAATTCTCTTAAACTTTTCGATTCCTCTTCAAATGCGGCTGTGGATACTTAATTTTTTATCCAAGCGGTTGGTGATGGGTACTGAAAAAGTTGACATATGTAGCGGTGTCCCACAAGTGTTTAAGCCCCATATTCTTCAATCTATACACAGCTTCTTTACATGATCTTCAAGATGACCAAACGCGTATTTTTCAATGTGCAGATGATTTCGTAATTGTATCTGCGGACTCATCTTTTTCAGCCGCTGTCAATAATTTCTCGATAAAAGCCAATTTTTTTTTCGATGCATGCGTTGATCTCAAAAACATCACCAAAGTCATGACTAACAATCAATCAGGCTTGCCTACTAAAAACGCTCTGACTGTATACAAATCTATAGTCAAGTCCAAAATTGAATTTGCACATTCCACATGTTGCAATTTCCCAAAATATATTGAGAAACGTAAACAAAAATTTAAAAATCGAATGTTAAAACGTACTGGACTGACTCCCTCAACTCCTCAACATATTCTCAATGTCATATCTGGTGAGTAGCCCGTTTCCCAAGGTGCTCTTTTTTGCATTGCCAAAAAGTTCATTAAGATCAAGCTGATGAATCCTTCCTTTTTTTAGGAAGTTATATCTCTCAGTGACACTGTCTCTTGCAGCTACACTTTTTGCTATCAAAGAGTTCGTCATAATATAGATTCAATTCCTCCCTGGAATTTCACAACCAACCAAAAGGTTCCTTTTTGTTACAAAAACGACTACGATATATATGCCACTGACGGTTCCGTCGGACATAATGTATCTGTCTTCTCGGTCGTGAAACATCTATCTGAAACAATACATCGAGTCAAAGTGAAAGAGGAACTTTCCTCTACTTTTATTGAGTTGCTCGCCATTCGACATGCTATCAAGGTTGCTATCACCGATGGTATCAGACGTTTTGTTATTTTTTCCGACAGCAGGTCAGCTCTACTTCTAACAAATAAAAGAGATGCAGAAAATCAATATGTGTTTGATATTCATAAGATGTTGCATGGATCTCAAGTGGATGATTGTCATCTCGTTTGGGTACCTGGTCACTGCGGCTTTTTTTAAAATGTAAAAGCCGACTTTCATGCAGGGAGAGCTCGTGTTGATGGGACAATTTTGTCCATCAAATACACTCCCAATGAAGCAATACGGGCAATTTGCAACCACATCCTTCAAGAGCTAAACGATGAATTTTAAAAAATCGCGCTCGTTAAATCCAATCGTCTTTTCTATAAAATAAATCCCAAATTTCAATTCAAACCCTTTTCTATGGCTTCTTTTAATTCCTGGGAAATCAAAATTCTTTATAGACTCATGAGTGGTCATACCTATGACAAAGTTTATTTAAAAATGATTCGCGCTATACCATGTGATGTTTGTGAAGTTTGCAATGTTGTTGAGTATGCTGAGCATCTAATCTTCAGATGTCACAGGCTCGATGGCATTAGAGATTCCTTTAGCTTATTCAAGTTATATGGCTGTCTCCTCGATCTCTTTGCAGCAAAAAATGTACGTCATCTCGGGGAACTAACTTACTTTATTAGAAAAGCCAATTAATCCTTTTAGAATTGTTCTTTTTCCTCTTTTTTCCTTTTTTCTTTTTTTTTTTTGCGTTCAATCATTTTCAATTACCATAACATTCCTTTTCGTTTTCAGTCAAAGTTTGCAACACTGTCTGACTTTCAAGAACTCAACAAGCACATTTACACACACACACACCCAATTACATCTAACATGCTCACTTCAGTTATTACGGCCGCTCTTTTTTTTTTGTTACGTTTTATACATAATCGTGACTAAAAATTACAACAATTTATTATCTGGACATATAAGCCACAAATCTATTGGCTTAGTCCATCTCTGTTCAACATACCAAGAAAAAAAAAATTCAAAGCACTTTTCGTTGAATATTGTTTTATTTAGTAATATCGAGAAAATTTTCAGAGTGATATCATCCTGCGCTCTAATAATTAAAATAACATAGAAAATATTAAGAAAAAGTGTAAAAAAAGAATTTGCAAGAAGGTGGATAATTTCTTTGATATTAAGTTTGCACACAAAATGTCACGTAAAAAGTGGACCACATTGGAAAAGCCACCGTTATCTAGCCTCGTATTAGACGTTGTTGAAAGTATGGGTTTTGAATTAATGACACCTGTTCAGGTAATCTTAATACATACAGTGAATTGTGGTATTAAAGGAAATTTTTACATTTCTAATCAAAGGCTGCTGCTATATTGTCACTTTTGTCACGCAAAGATGTTTCTGCAAAGGCTGTAACTGGATCAAGAAACACATTAGCGTTTTTAGTACCTCTATTGGAAATGTTAAGTCGCAGGTCTAATGAATCGCCGTGGACTCCTAAAGAAATTGGCGCTATAATTATCTCACCCACAAGAGAATTGGCTTCACAAATCTCGGAGGCATGGCAAGTCTTTTTGACCCATGAGCAGTTAAAGCATTTACGTCAAAAACTTATAGTAAGCGGAAGCAGCATTGAAGAGGGTACAAAATCTGTACAGAACGAGGGACCAACCATATCAACCAATCAGCATATTTACTATAAAGATTTAAATTGGTTGGATCGTTTAATCGTATTTTAAAAGAAGGTAAAAAATCATTGCAATTGAATGGTTTTACTGCTATTGTTCCTAGCAGATTTGGCAATGCGACTTGCTGGCGTGTGACCTTTTGATATCCTCAAAGCAATTAAAAAAAATCGGCAATATACACCAAGCAACTTTAATCCCTATTTGTGGATCATATCAATGCCCGGAATGGGGAAAATTTTGCAGAAATCGCCGAGCTCTAAGCAATCATCAGGTGTTAAAAGCATACTTTGGTCCTTCAGAGACAGCTGCAACGTGTTGATGCAAGATGTCAAGTGGATTGTAAGCCTTAGTCTTTTAACAGGTGCTTAATATTCCATACTTACTGAATTATTTATACCTACTTTTTACTAAAATTATGCAGAAACTTAAACGTATGGTAGACGTATTAGATGCTTTTAATATTGAAATCGCAGGTTTTCGCTATACGGAACAAATACCTTGAAGGATTCAATGTGGAGCGTGCTTTTCACCGCCGCAATGTTATTATTAAAAAAACGAATTGTAATACATTGTTTTTATATTTTGATATTATTTGATATTTATAATAAAATAACTTGTTAAACAAATACAATCTGTGGAATCTTAAACATTCGAAAATATTCGATAACTTTTTGATACATGCAACAAAGGCCCTTAGATATTATTGATTTATTGATTATTCTAGAAATAAGGGACAATTTTCTAGGAAATTGTTGGTCAACTTTGTGTAAATTATAAATCATACGCATTGAAATCTATATATGAAAAGTCAGGCTAGATTTTTTGAGGTCAAAGAGACTGTTTAATAAGATTTTATATGCTTTCGATCTGGAATTTCGCTATTTTAACAAAGTGTTTACAAGTGTTTAAGACTGTTTAATAAGATTTCATATGCTTTCGATCTGGAATTTCGCTATTTTTTCAAAGTGTTTACAAGTGTTTGTGGTAGCGAATATTGACTTCTTTAAATCAAATGGATCATCCGTTGCCGGCAGGACGCACCGACTAAATTTGCTTGGTTTCATCATGATTATGCTGCTAAAAACGAAAAACTGCAGGGAGTCTATTGATAAGAACATGCATTCACACTGAAGTAATTCAAATTTAGCATAAAAATGTTGATATGTAACCAACTTATATTCTAATTTTTCTTTACAGATTAAAAAAGTCCATCGTCGCACTTTGGGAAATGGAAAATCGTGCCTCAAAAAAACCCAGTAAAGGTAATTCAAGTTTAGCATAAAAATGTTGATACGTTACTAACTTATATTCGAATTTTTCTTTGCAGATGAACAAGAAACGATATGCCGTCGCCAATCTTCCATAAACCACCAAGGCTCACTATACGTCAAGATAAGTCGTATATACCTTTTGCTGTAATTGTGTATAATAAATTCATTTCTTTTTATTTCATTTCAGTTTTAAAAAAAATAAAAACATCCGCACCATTGCTTCAGTACAATATAAGACTGCCGTACGCCAAATGGTAAATTCGCGATCAGCTTAACATATAAAATTTTGTAACTACATTATTTTTCTTTTGCAGGTGAAGATGTTAATAACAGCCGCCATAATACTTTTTATTTATTTATTATATTTATAGTTTTTATGTATTTACGTATTATGCACGTATCTTACGTATAAATGAGGATTTTATTTATATATCGTTATTATTGTAAATATTATTGTAGTTTTTAATTATTTTGTAAATATTATTGTAAATATTATTGTAGTTTTTAATTAGGTTTATAATGGTGTAGGCCTAACGGGGAGTCAACAATTAAAATAATTGGCGACGCGCCCACACGGTATCTCTAATGTGGTGCGGGAAGCCGTGAGATATTTTCCTTTTGTTTATATTTTTCAGCAGCTGTTCTAGAGGAATTGTTTACTATCTTTTTCCTAACAAGCATTTGTTTTTGGAGAAATGCGAACTTGGCAGCACGACATCAGCAAAACATGTTTATCTTTTCATTGTTGTACCACATTTATGTTGTGAAGAAGTTGATAAACTTTTTGCGAATATATAAGCCACATACGTCTGGGCTCATTCTATATCTCAAAAACAAAAGTTAATCCCAGATCACTGATTATTTTCATTTAAAATAAAGTGGACAACCAGCAATGTAAAAAATCCAAATTATATTGAAAATTCTCAAAACAAAAGTTAATCCCAGGTCACTGATTATTTTCATTTAAAATAAAGTGGACAACCAGCAATGTAAAAAATCCAAATTATACTGAAAATCATGAGTTTTACGTGGGTACACAAACAAGTTCTTTAAGTCATCTTTTTATCGGCTTGCAGTTTGGAGGAAAGGTCAATGGCAAAATTTGTCGAACCAAGCCTTTGAGTTGCCGTTAAGGTTTTAAACGGGTCATCTATAAGGGCTCTATCAATTAAAGAGCCCTCCTTAAGGATTGTTTTTCTGGCTTTGTGCATTGTACACCATCTTTCGGGAGCAATTCAAAATGGTCACAACCTCCCATAAAATTGCCAGTTTTAATAGAAAGATTGCAAGATTCTAACCTGGATTTTAGATTTAGTTTTTCATGAAGCGCATGTCAATATCTAATACATTTTTTTTATGCTTTCCTCAGATTAAAGTGATTTTGACGGAACATGCGAAACATTTCTTAGATTTGGCTAGCATGCCGCAGAGTGCAGAATATTGGATGATGAGATGGAATGAAAAGCCTGGAATAAACGTGGTGATCCAGTAGTGCATATTGAGTTAGGAAAATGAGTCGATTTATTAGTGATTGCACCGCTCAGTGCGAATTCTTTGGCAAAAATATCAATCTTGGACATATAAGCCACAAATCTATTGGCTTAGTCCATCTCCGTTCAACATTCCAAAAAAAAAAAAATATCAATCAATGGTTTGTAAACTTTTTCATTCAATTCATTTCATGTAATATCTTTCTTGTAATATCTTATTTAATACCATTTCAGGGATTATGCGATAATCTTCTTATGTGTATGGTACGCGCTTGGGATTTGAAAAAACCGCTTTTATTTTGCCCTGCTATGAGTACACGCATGCATGGTCATCCAATTACAACGGACCAAATTAATAAACTTGCAGCTACCAAGAAATACCAAGTATAGCAAAGACTCGAATATATGATGATACTCACCGAACGAAAACACATGGTGGATCATGGATTTCCTGAATTTTAGAATTTAATAGCTTTATTATACATTTAAAATACTTTATTAATATATATAAAAGAATTATTATTCTTTTTAATGGTTTCCTGATTGTTTCCGATTCTTTTTCCTTGACGCTTGGGGGAAATAAAATAAAACTAGCGATAAGAATCTATCTGAACGAATTATTCTTATTATGAAAAATAAACAAAACTCTTTTACAACAATTGAAAGCAAGTTCGCCTCCCGATTGTCTACATGAAACTAAACATCTGGCCAAAAAAAAATTAAAATAAAATAATACACATTGCAAACAGTATTGCCAGCGCTATTATTTTATGATAATGTAACGAGCCTTCTTGGCCGGGGTAGAACTCAGCCACTCCAAGGCTCCTTCCAAGATAATTTATAAGAAAAGTCTTGAATCTTCGAGGGTGTTCTTAAGTTGCTTTTATTTGTATACGAGGTGAACAGCGATTTGTAGAGGGTTGGAAAGGAACCAGCGAGGTGACCCGACGAACGGTTTGACGCACACGTGGTTAGAGTTTTTCTTTTCTCGTACTATCGCGGATTACTTAGGCGGCTCTGACACAATTCAAGCGTTTATGAGATTTTACTTGTACTATCTTAGGCGACTATGACACAAGTCAAGCGTTTATGTGATGCACACGTGGTTGGAGACTTTACTTGTACTATCGCGGACTTCTTAGGCGGCTATGACACAATTGAAAACGTTTATGACCGGTTTGATGCACACGTGGTTGGAGATTTTCCTTGTATTATCGCAGATTACTGCAAAAAACGGATACGTGTCATAGCTGCCTTGGCTCCCTGGACCCACGGTTTGTCTCTGGTTGGCGATTCGTATGTAGGAATAAGAAAAGATGTGCCTCAGTCTTTCAGGGATGGCAACTAACAGCTATGCCAGCACATCCGCTATCCGTAAAGTAGGTAGTTCTAAAAGTCATTCAGGGTTGGCAACTAACAGCTATGCCAGCACATCCGCTATCCGTAAAGTAGGTAGTCCTAAAAGTCCTTCAGGGATAGCGACTAACAGCTAAGCCAGCACATCCCCTATCCGTAAAGTCCAAAAAAAAAGACTACTCATAAAGGTCAACTTGTCAAATTACCCGTGCGCATTTACCTTAGGCGGCTATGACACAATTGAACGATTTCGTGTGATGAGACGCTCTTTTATAGTCGAAGTCTAGCTGGCTTGTTCCATTACAAACATGTTTTAGGCTTTATATGTGTATTGAGGTATTATACTTATACGTATGCTTAACTTAGGTTGGCTGTTGTCGCAATCTTAGTTACGACTTGCATGAAACGACTTATACATAACTTAATTCTAATACTCTCTTACGTGCCAACTTATGTCTACTTGCCCATATGTTTAACCTTCTGCTTGTTTCACTGTCGTTGCTAATTTAGGTACCAAATCGGCTGATTTGTTAACTGTTAAGTGTGTGAGTTCTATACCCGCTATGCTTGTTTGAATGCCTATTCAAGCAAAAGGCTTTCTTACAATAAGATACTTGAACTGAATACCGTAAAGTTACTTTATGTCTAAACGTGCCGAAGCTGGCACTATTGTATTCATACAATTAATTAAAAAATTGCAAATTTATTCAAATATTTGGTGTTAATTTTTACATATATTCGTACAGGTGATTTGAATATTGTAGTGTGATCGCACACTGTCGTATGCAAATTCAGCATAATTCTGTCGCAAAAAAAAAAAAAAGTAAAAGAAAATTTTGGTCACACTTCAACTGGTATTGCATTACGAAATGCAATACGATGCCAGGCGCCCTAATTAAAATAAGTGTTAACGTAGCATAAAATCATCTGTAGATTTAAGTATAAATAAGGCACTTAAAGAAATAAAGAATCAATTGTTTAACAGCAATTCATAACCAAGCGTTCTATTCGCTCAAATAGAAAAGGCGTTAAATCCGCCTAAGCTTTAGCTAGGGACCGTCTCTTGCCGAGCTTCATTGGCACTACATGAGACGGATAGACTTGGCGTTTTGCAGCCGAGCAGAATAGGGATACACTTACAACTCAAGTACCCTTGCCAAGGAAGCATTCATAGGGAATCCTACCTAATAATACGGCAACACATTTGGTCAACACAACACATTGTTACATTAGCGTTTCTATTTTATTACAATATATTTGCAATCTTTTATTTAATTGTATGAAAAAACAGCATTTATTTTCCCTTAAACCATATGCCAAATCTCCACCAAGTCGTTTTAATTTAGTTGAGTTCAAAGAAAATCTCTAGCAAATGAAAAATCTCTTTCCAACCCGCTTGACTGCTGCAGGCAGCCAATTCCAGTCAGCAATGCCCGATACATTGCGTCGTTTGAAGGCGGATAGTCTGCATCCATCAACAACTCTTTCATGCCCTTATGCAAAGAAACATGGGCTAATGTGTCGACAGTTAATAAATATGAAGTAACGACTTTATGGCCGTCCGCTGGCATTTTTGAAAGAGAGTGTGCTACGAAAGCCTCAATATAGACTTTCGCTAAACGTTGACCATGTTGTGCTAATTCCGCATTGTGTTTCAATTGCATATCAGCATTTTCAACGCCCAATTCTTCTTGTTTAACCTTCTCTTTGGTTACATACGATTCTTGAGTTAAAGCTGTCTGCAATAGGTATATTTGAAAGTCTTCGTTCAATCTTTTACCGAATGCAAATAATTCGGCGCGATAGTTCCAATGCAAAAATCTCGAGCGACATTCGAGAGGCCGTGGATCAAGCTTTTGGCACGTCGGCAAAGCTCGCGTAGAACAGGAACAACCCATCGTTTATAATGACGACGAATTTGCATACATCGCAAGGAGTTTCTCAGCAAAGCCATTCAAGTTTTATTGAAGACCTTTTGAAAAAGTTTAATTTGTTCTTAGGATTTTTTTTCTATGTTGCCTATTTTGTCTTATTAAATAATATATATGGAAATGATGCTAAGTTAGAGTACGAATAAATTATTTTAGTCTCCACGCAGACAATAGCACGCAACCCATTTAACATGTAAATAAATCAAATGTCTATCCAAACTTACGGCGATAAACCGGTTGCTTTTCAGCTGGAAAAAGGTGGCGAATACTATTCTGTCTGCTCAGAAATAGGGAACGGCTTTGCGTCTATTTCGAGATATTTCATACAAAAAATACTTGGGTATCAATTGCATTGTGCTCTCCAATGAGGAACGCAAACGTTTGGCAGATTGCGGCCGAAGTCCAAATATATTCGCTAGCCCAGTTTCATTACTGCGTGCTTGTAAAGTAGACGATATTATAGCCGGAAATGACGAAAAGTTTGTATTGAAATTTTTAGGTGCTGCCATATAAGTGTTCAAATGCATACATAACTTTAACAGGTATAGAGGGATCTCCGTAAATACCTCGGATGCACCGTTGTTATCCGAGTTTACAGACGCGGCTACGATTGATAACAGTCTCATATAGTGCTACTAGAAAAATTTTTAAACTAGCAACGCTATGTTATCGCTGCCAGGCTGCTAAGTTGTAAATGAATCAAATGTTTTATAAGCAAACGCCAATTACGTCAATAACAAATGAAGCGCTAACACAATATAACAGTTGCAACTGAGAACGCAGTGTTGCAGCGAGTATCACATAAGAAATTACAGTTTAATAACAGTACAGATCGTAATGAACGATTGAATCTTTTGTTCACATTTCATAGAGGTTTAAATTTGAAAACATTAGAAGCCGTGATTTTATTGTTGCAATTCTTGCTTTTATTTGTTATTCTATAACCTGTTGAATTTCAGATTTTGTTAACTTTTCGATTCGACTGTGAGAAGATGAAATGTTTGTCCTGTGGTTCAGGTGACCACAACATTCTCAACAAGTCTTGCCCGAACAGGGAACTTGTATCAAACATTAACAGGATCATGGCACTTAAAAATTTTTCGTATAAAGAGGTAAAAGAGAAGTTTTCCTCGAATTACTTCGAATGTCTTGACGACATCTCCTACGACGACAACTTCCCTCCATTGGGGAACGCGTCTGCTATTTCGCGTAAGAACGATAATAAAAATGCAAATAAAATTTTAACCAAAAATAAATTCGATGCTGGCGTCAAAAGAAAATCGGTCCCTTCCAAATTCGTTCTCAGTTCACCCACCAAGCCTTCTCTCAATTCATCCCCCAAGCCGTCTGGAACAAGTCTTCGGCGTCCTGTAATGTCAAATAACTATTTGCGTTCCTCAAAACTTGAAAGATTAATCTCTGCGATTAAAGAAAGTATCCGCCCGATGATCCCTCACAATTTTATTAAAGAATTTGAAGAAAATATGTCTGTCTATGTTCTGATTTATCATCAATTCAAAGTGCCTTTCGGTCTGTGATCAGGTCTGCTAGAACCAACTTTCTAACTTTGGGTTCTTCTTACTTAAAGCTTGGTGAAACTCTTTCCTGTCAACACTTTTTCGCAAATACCAAGCTGCTAGGAAAGAAATAATTAAATATGCCAATCCAGTCAACTACACTGAATATATGGAAACACTGAAAGAATGGTGGTCTGCAGTGAGAAAGGCGAAAAGGACACATAGAGCTATCGCGATTAAAGATTTATGTGATAACGGCAACCCACGTCCTTTCTGGAATTATATCAATGGTCATCGACATTCCAGTCGAAAATTAAGCGGTTGTGCTGTATGGAATGACTATGATAATAAAAGATACTTGGATATGCTCAAGAGCTATATTCCAAGTGTCAATCCGATTACAATACCTTCAATGCCTTTTAGTAGTCTCAGCAACACACCCTTTTCATAGCATGAGCTAATGTATGTTTTACATTCCAGAAACAGAGCCACTGCTGCAGGTTATAATAGAGTGAAGTATGACATGCTCAGAGCACTGTCTGGAGGAAGCCTTAGCATTCTCTTGCATGCAATTAACAAGTGCTGGTCCATCAACTTTATACCCTCAGATTTGCGATGCATCAAAATAGTTCCCATTCCTAAGGCAGGTAAAGACTTAAATGATTTAAGTGGCTTCAAATCAATTTCGGTGATATCTGTATTCATAAAGACTTCATGGTTAAGGAGAGACTAACTGGTTTCCTGAAAACTGAGAACATTATTCCACCTCGTTCTTACGCCTATCAAAAACGCAAATCTACAATCGTGTGTGTTAACGAACTAACTTTACTCATAGCTAGCTTAAAAAAAGCAGGGAAAATGGTTGTCATGTTCTCCCTGGACATCAGCAAAGCCTATGACTGTGTCAACTTGATTAAGCTTTGTAGAATTCTCTTAAACTTTTCGATTCCTCTTCAAATGCGGCTGTGGATACTTAATTTTTTATCCAAGCGGTTGGTGATGGGTACTGAAAAAGTTGACATATGTAGCGGTGTCCCACAAGTGTTTAAGCCCCATATTCTTCAATCTATACACAGCTTCTTTACATGATCTTCAAGATGACCAAACGTGTATTTTTCAATGTGCAGATGATTTCGTAATTGTATCTGCGGACTCATCTTTTTCAGCCGCTGTCAATAATTTCTCGATAAAAGCCAATTTTTTTTCGATGCATGCGCTGATCTCAATTTATATTTTAACCCCAGCAAAACAAATACTATTTAAACGAATACTATTTATTTTGCCAAATGTTCTAAACGTGAAATTAGGCCCTTTATTAAAAGTACTAAAGTTGATCAGGTGAAATCTCTTCGGTTTCTTGATAGAATTTTAAATGACAACTCAACCCGGCATTATGAGAAAGCCTTCAAAGACTGTCAATCTGGATGTAACATCACCAAAGTCATGACTAACAATCAATCAGGCTTGCCTACTAAAAACGCTCTGACTGTATACAAATCTATAGTCAAGTCCAAAATTGAATTTGCACATTCCACATGTTGCAATTTCCCAAAATATATTGAGAAACGTAAACAAAAATTTAAAAATCGAATGTTAAAACGTTGTACTGGACTGACTCCCTCAACTCCTCAACATATTCTCAATGTCATATCTGGTGAGTAGCCCGTTTCCCAAGGTGCTCTTTTTTGCATTGCCAAAAAGTTCATTAAGATCAAGCTGATGAATCCTTCCTTTTTTTAGGAAGTTATATCTCTCAGTGACACTGTCTCTTGCAGCTACACTTTTTGCTATCAAAGAGTTCGTCATAATATAGATTCAATTCCTCCCTGGAATTTCACTACCAACAATTGTAGTCTTCATGAACATTCTCGAATCGACCTCTACCTCAAAACAAAATGTCAACTTCTCTTAAATGAGGATGTTATGTCAAGAAAAGGTTCCTTTTTGTTACAAAAACGACTACGATATATATGCCACTGACGGTTCCGTCGGACATAATGTATCTGTCTTCTCGGTCGTGAAACATCTATCTGAAACAATACATCGAGTCAAAGTGAAAGAGGAACTTTCCTCTACTTTTATTGAGTTGCTCGCCATTCGACATGCTATCAAGGTTGCTATCACCGATGGTATCAGACGTTTTGTTATTTTTTCCGACAGCAGGTCAGCTCTACTTCTAACAAATAAAAGAGATGCAGAAAATCAATATGTGTTTGATATTCATAAGATGTTGCATGGATCTCAAGTGGATGACTGTCATCTCGTTTGGGTACCTGGTCACTGCGGCTTTTTTTAAAATGTAAAAGCCGACTTTCATGCAGGGAGAGCTCGTGTTGATGGGACAATTTTGTCCATCAAATACACTCCCAATGAAGCAATACGGGCAATTTGCAACCACATCCTTCAAGAGCTAAACGATGAATTTTAAAAAATCGCGCTCGTTAAATCCAATCGTCTTTTCTATAAAATAAATCCCAAATTTCAATTCAAACCCTTTTCTATGGCTTCTTTTAATTCCTGGGAAATCAAAATTTAAAAATGGGTCGCGCTATACCTTGTGATGCTTGTGAAGTTTGCAATGTTGCAGAGTCTGCTGAGCATCTAATCTTCACATGTCACAATCTTGATGGCATTAGAGATTCCTTCAAGCTTCTTCAATTTATAAGACCGTCTCCTCGACTCTTTGCAGCAAAAAATTTACATCATCTCGGAGAACTAACTTGTCTTATTATAAAAGCTAATTTATCCTTTTAGAATTTTTTTTTTTTTTTTTTTTTTTTGCGTTCAATCATCTTCTGTTACCATAGCATTCCTTTTCGTTTTCAGCCAAAGCTTGCAACACTGTTGGGCTATCAAGAACTCAACAAGCGCAATTACACACACACACAATTACACTAACATGCTGGCTCTAGTTATTACGACCGCTCTTTCTTTTGTTACGTTTTGTACATAATTGTGATCAAAAATTACGACAGTTTGTTATCTGGACATATAAGCCACAAATCTATTGGCTTAGTCCATCTCCTTTCAACATGCAAAAAAAAAAAAAAAACTTTTCTTCCCTTTTATTAAAAAATTTTGCAAAAAGGAAGAACTTACGATTCGTCGGAAGCAAGTAAATTTTACTCGTTACACTTCGTATTAAATTTTAAACTTTTTATTCATATTGTAATTATTCTCCGAACCCTTTTTTTAATAGCCATAAAAAAAAAATTTTTCATTTTTCATTTTGGCATTCAGGATGGGAAAGGCGGTGAAAGATCAGGAATATTGCCAACAAATGTATATAATTTTTTACTATATACGAGTACAATTCACACAATTATTTCAGTCGTACACTGCATAGCAGCAAACTGAACATGAAATCAAGACCAAGGTGTTTCTTTCTAAAGATTGATACACGCTGCGTTACGCTTGTAACTTCAGAGGAAATCAAGAGAAGTTGTGCACAATTTAGTGCACGCAATTAGAAAACATGTGATAACTATAGCTATAAATATGCGCCCAATTCACCAGTAACTTGTGTGTGCTTCACCCTCTCCCTCTATAGTTAACACAAGATCTCTCGCACAGGTTGTGATGTAAATGATTTGGATTAGCTTACGGTTAGATTTCTTCGCAGGAAGTTTTGAAAAAAAAATTCCATAATTACAATTATTAACTAGTTAATATAAAAAAAATATAATGTACCAAATAAATACTTTTCGCAATGTAAACAAATTTGTTCGATTTTGTATTAACGTTGTAAACATTCACAACTATTTTGGTACAAAATTATAAACAACAATGTCAACATCATCATTGTAAAAAACATCATTTATTTCAGCGCAGACTTTATCCCATTCAAGACCGTCAATACCGCAACCAATGCGCGGTATTGCTAATTTTTGAACGCTATTAGAAAACTATAAGAAAAGTCACGAATTTATTGTTAATTAAGAAAACTTAAAAAATCTTTTTACCATATGTTGTTGCATTGCTTTCAAAGATGACCTTAGGTTATCATATGTAGGTTTTTGCCAACTTTCATCTTTAGTGACTAAATAATAAATAAAGCGTTGATCGTCTTTGAGTACAGCGACCCCACCAGTTCCAATCTTCTGCGCACGAAGTTCGTCAACTTGACCGTAAACTTGTTTAAATTTTGTAGCTATTCCAGCGCCCATACCAAAATCAGCGGCTACACAATGAGCTAAAGAATGAGATTTCGGCGCGTTAAAGAGGTCGCCTTCTATTTCGGATAGTTTATATTTTTCTGAAGACATTTTTCGGCTTTGATAAGTAGCTATAAACAGATAAGTACATACTATGATTAATTTTAATTCATACATTTGGCTAACAAAAACTGACACTGAAATGCACTCTTAGCTTAATAACTGTATTATAACGATTTAAGTACTTTTCTTTTGATCTCTATTCTATTACTGTATTGTTTTTTTATTTAAAAAAAAAAGAACGTGCATTCGACATAATGCATTTAGGCAGAAAACTAGGACTTAACACAAGCTCAACATAAACTTAAAATTCACTGAGGCACTGCAGAGGAATTCTTTTATCAGAGTCTATTCAATGACATTAAGACAATGTACTAAAATGATAATATAAATTCCGATTAAATTCACAAATTTCGCACTCACTTACACAAGTGTTTAACAAATAATCCAGTTCTTGTACTTGTTATGCTAATTGTAAAATATTTAGCAACCGAAAAACGCAAGTTATTCAATATCGACATTTACGTAAAGAATTTAAGGATATTGTGTATTGAAAATTGAGAATGTGTTCCGTTATACATCCAGAGGATACCAAAAATTTGTGCATATTCGACTGCTTTTGTTGGTATTTCTTTAATCATAACAATAATTCGCCTTAGAAACAGCTGACCGCTAATAAAAAAATTTTGATTTTAAATTCGCTGCGAAGCACAAAAATGAAATGAATTCATGAAAGAAGCAATCTCTTGTATATCAATCATATTTTGGTCTACAACAAGTTTTTTTGTTGTCATTTAACGCCCAGCAATGAAAAATCGTACATTATTTTGATTCCACTAAATATTAAAACTTTCCCTTAATCGCTACATAATGCTGATTATATTAGAACCATTTTTGTATATTCGCCTTCAATTTTGTGTCGCCATATATACCTGATAATGACCTTATTTGACCGATTCCTACAAAAGCAATTTGATTTTAAATTTGCTGTGAAGAAAGTGAAGAAAATAAGTATAAAAATGTCAGTTTTAGTTAAAACGACCACAAGTATTATTAAAGAAATTAAGAATAACGCGAAAATAGTAAACATTTGTGGAATAAAGTATTTGTGTAATTATAAACATATAAGTTCTAATTACTGTCTGATTTCGAAGGAAACATCGTTATCAAAAATACTGATCTCTTTTCAAAATGGTAGGTAATTACTAATGGTATATAAATTGGATGTTTTCGTAATCTTTTTCCTGAAGGTCAAAGTCAAAGGCAAGGTGAAAGTACATATATTTGCACTTATGCATAAATATGTGTAATATATATACATTTATATTATATATAATGAATAAGTTGAATAAGCGTTTAACTAAAGATTTAAATTTGTATAAATCACATCTCCTTATTGTTTTCCAAGAAGGTTGCAAATGTTATAAATAGACATGGGGCTAATAACACATACATACAACTGAAATCATACTTCTTCTTGATAATTCTTATGAAAGTAGCTAGAAAAATGTTATTACAAAGAGTATACACGTGTTTGTGGTTAAGTAGGTTGTTTAAGCTCTTTTACAAGTTACTGTTATATAAAAAATTGAAAATGTACTGTTATATAAGAAATTGAAATAGTTGTTGCATCAAGTGGAATTAAATGCAATTTTACTTTGGTTATGATGTAACTTAGTTGTACTTTGAACACATCAGAACTTGCCGGTGAGAATACAATCTAGTTTAAGGTGAAAGTGCTTTCCTTGTGTTCAACCGTCTGTTCTTTCCGAAAGGGAGATTGACAACATATATAGGAAGATTGATTACACCTTTAACATGCAAAGAAAACTTGTTTTCTCGATGTATATAGTATTTTCAGTACTTGAAAGAAAAGACACAATGGTTGAAAAGCTGTAAAGGAAATCATGTTCAAAATTTTATTGACAAAATTTAGTTTCCCAAATATTTTTCGAATTAGGTTGAAAAGAATCCGGCGGTTGTATGCTGTGATTACAGGGATTGAACATAACATTGGCTAATGGACATTTTCGGGGTATTTACGTCAACTTGAGTTGGTGAACAGGTTTAATCCATAAGAAGTTAAACGTGCAATCAACCATTGCCAGCTAACTGTTACGATAAAACTTATGTATTGTGTTTGTCGAACTAAACGCTGACTGACTGACTCTTTGCGCTTAATACCTTTTACTGCAATCTGTATCATATATTTAATACACTACAATGGATTTCATATGCGCAGAGGGTGTGAGCAAATAACTCTAAAATTACCAAAATTTTTTGGAATTCATGTCTAAGTAGCAACTTACTGACATCTCGAAGTGAAAAATATACCATTTTCGTTATTAAGTGCACATAAATGTACTATTCAAATTCAACTATTGTCTCTTTGCTTCTCTCGCTTTCTCTTTTGTTCATAGCGAACTCGCGATTGACGGTTCTTAAGAGCTTCAGGCAACGAAGATTTTAAAGCTGCCTACATAATTGTGCATGCGCTTCTTAATACAATAAAAATATGTTATCATCTTATATAATACCTACCCCTCAATATGTTATTTTTATTGAAACTTTTGTGCCAGAAAAATTATTATTTAAAGCGATTAAAGGTTCGACACTTTAGACCAAGAGTCTCGATTAGTGTTAAAATCTTACTTTAGTAATCGAAGTTTGAATGAAAATCTCTTATTCAATAATAGGCGACGAAAGCTAATTATTGGCATTAGGCGCAAACAAATGCTGTCTATGATGTTAGATTCAAAAATTTTTTGACTACACATCGTCACTGCATATTTCTGTTGAAAATTTTTAAAACACCATAAATTCTTATACTTGTCACAGAGCATACATTAAATCTACCAAATACTCCAGATCTTAAATTGTGGATATATTTTTGATAAGTGCAATTACATTGTATAAATATTTATTTACTCATTCAAAGGGATGAAGGTGATTATGCCATCTAAATTCTAGAAAACAAGTTAAAGCCAAAAATCAGTTTAATCCACCGTGGCAAACATCACCCATTTTTAAAAAAATGGAGAGATCATTTAAGAGCGGTTGTACAATTTATCTTTCTTATTATTCTTCACTCTCGAATCAGAAAACTAACTTGACCTACGACTGTCTATACAACTACCTAAAGATCGTATACCAGGAAGATAAAGTACATACATACACAGTCTTTAGTGCGACAATTAGTTATGTAATTCTGCCAAATCGTATCGGTTTCTAACGGATATTTCCTGTTCTTTACACATATCGGGGATCATGGATTATTTATATGTACATAATAGTATAATTTAATAAAAATTTGTCTGCGTTCAGCACAAATGATAGTGATGGAGTGCTGGTAGAATATAACTTTCCTGTTCAGAGCTATTTTACATCCGCTATAATTATTTACTAGAATCAACAGTAGCTGAAGGGATCGTTCATTTTCATTCATTTATTCTTATTTAACAGAATTAATACGGTCCGCTATTTTTTGAAAGCAATTCTCTTGTCTCTCTACTCACAACACATGTAAAGGAAAAAACCAGCTAACGGCTTTTAGCGAAAGAAGAAAGACGGTCATCTGGTAGGTGTTTCAAATTCTCCTAAAGCCGTACTTCTCATGCCACATTTTTATTTATGTGTAAATAATCTTACTCTTAAAATGATAAAGTTTATTCAATTTTATAAGTACTAGATATGAACCTTTTCGAAGCAAAAGTTATTATTGAAAAGTTTGCTCTTCTATCGACTGCGTTAAATTATTCAACTCTAACGATTTAGTTAATATATTTATATGCGTAATACTTTGCGACTTTTTACATTCATCTTTTATATACTTTTGCACAATTAAAATAAATCCAAAAATTCAACTTTCATTTCTTATATCTTTTCTTATATCTTTTCCATAGCAGCAAGTACTTGATAAAAGTTAATCTGATCACTACAATTTAAGTTGCTTGTCTTTCTTTTCTGTTGCAGTTATTCAAAATCAGAGGAGAAATATGTCTATGTGTGAAAGTCAAAAGCAAGAGTTGGTGAGTGTAAACGAATCCAGGCGTTTTATGATCGATTGTTTTAAGGCATTTGGTGTTCCGCAAATTCATGCCGAACAACAGGCTGATTTATTAGTCGCAGCTGACTATCGCGGTCATTTCAGTCACGGTTTAAATAGACTGGAATATTATTTAAATGATCTTTCAAAAAAATCTACTGATGGCGCTGCTGTTCCAAAAATTTTAAAAGAAACTCCAGCCACAGCTTGGGTTGATGGTTGTAATGGATTAGGTGCCGTTATTGGAAATTTCTGTATGGATTTAGCCATTAAGAAATCTAAAACTGCAGGTGTCGGTTGGGTTTGTGTCAAAAACTCCAATCACTATGGGATGGCTGGGTGGTATCCGATGAAAGCAATGAAAGAAGGTTTTGTAGGCATTTCCATGACTAATACATCGCCGTTAATGGCGCCAACGCGTGCAAAGGAGGCCGCTCTTGGCACAAATCCTATTGCAGTTGGTGTACCCGCCGGAGACGATCACTTTTTACTTGACATGGCTACGACGGCAGTAGCATTGGGAAAAATTGAAATTCAACGTCGCAAAGGTGAAGATATACCTGAAGGTTGGGCACAGAACGTTGAAGGTGCTTCAACCACTGACCCTGAACAAGCATGTTGTTTGATGCCATTGGGCGGCGCTGAAGGGAATTCCGGTTATAAGGGTTATGGTAACGTGAAAAAGCTCTATTCGGCTTATGTGATTATTTAAAACCCTGCACAGCTTGTGGTACATGATGTCATGGGTATTGAAAAGTTTTTAGGTTCGTCTATTTACACCATTACCCTACGAATTAATTTCAAATGTGATATAGGGAATAACTTCAATTTTTTATACACGATGTGTTTTCTAAAAATGGTCTTTGTCGCAAGAGGTTTGTCAACGTATTTCGAAATTTGCGGCCTTGAACTGGCAAGGACGAACAAGTTTAAATCACCTTAAAAATTGTTTTTGTTATTAGTAAGTGTTCAAAGAAAATCAGCGAAAGTCTTACCACTTGAAGTGCAGAGTTTCACGTCTTGAGATGTAAGCTCATTTAAAATACTGTTTATCAATTAAGGTCTTGCTTCTGTTGTGGACATTTTGACCGGTGTCATGGCTGGAGCGAATTATTCAACTAAAATACGTAAATGGAATGCACTTGGCTGTAATGAACAAGCTGATTTAGGACAAATGTTTGTTGCAATTAATCCCAATTGTTTTGATCCGGACTTTGAGACAAATATGTGCGACTTGAACAGCCGCTTGCGCAATTCTAAACCCGTATGTACTGAATGCTCTCTCATTTATTGTACTTTCCCATCGACCACCACTAAAAGATTGCCCATGTTAGATTTATCATGTAAGTTTTAGCAACTTATATAAATATTCGAAAATCCAAGTGATGTGAACAACCATGTGCTGTTTATATATCCAACCGCCGTAAGACTTTAATTCCAAATGTTGTCTTCCTATTTGCTGTCTATTATTTCAAATTATAAATTTTGTTAAGCTATGTGTATATAGCTATATATATATATATATTTTTTTTAACTTACTTGCAATAGTTCATATCGTCCTCTCAAGGTGCACGTTTATCGTCTTTGTATATACGCTGCCACGGTGAACGTTTCTTGCTTGATTATCCCCCTATTATGTCCCAGTATTATGTAAATGAGCACACCTTTAATGTTATTCTTTTCAACACCGGACACGGTTTCGTCCTCGTTCCAATAATGAAACTTGCCGAATAATGATCGCGGTAGAGTCATTGTATTTTGTAGCTCATTGTCGATCTTTTCATAGACATCTCTTTTTAAGTTGACTATACGCTCCACATAAGCGTCGAACGAAAAGTTATGCGGATGGATGCAACAGCAAGGAGGACTTGAGATAGAGACATTTTTTATTATGGTTTATCCGTATGTCTGTTTATTTTCTTGAGATATTTTGACGAAATTTTACATACTGACGTGTTTTGGCCCAAGGGCGAACGGTATCCAAAATGATTCGAACCGGATCGCTTTTTTAACCTCTTCCCATTTGACGCCTCATTTTAAAAAGCCGATATATGGATAACTAGTGGGATGTAAGCTATATAATGCTGAACCGTGCCCTACTATAGTGTTTTCATCATGTAATCCATCCTTTACACTATAAACTATAAAAATATTTCTTTTTTTGTCCTTTTACATAAAAAAATCAATATTTTATACTTAAGGTGGTGTCTGTCCAAGATTTATACTTGAAATGATTTCAATTTCTACATATTTAATTTAGAATTTATTTTAGATTGATCCAGAAATGACCGTTTTAGTAGCCGGAGACAAGGAAGAAGATAACATGAAAGCGGTAGATAAAGCCGGAGGCATAAAGTATTTACCTGATCAGTTGAGAACGTGCAAAGAATTGGCACAACGTTTAAATGTGAAGCCACTTAGTTTTATATGAACTAAACAATAAAAAATTCAATACTATTATTGCATTAAAATTAAAAAACATATAGTTTTTTAAAAGTATTAACCCAAGATTTTTTTACCCACCACGGGTGCAACCCATTTTGTCATAATGTTTGCAACACCTAGAAGAGTGGAGGTACTGGAGGGTTTGACAATATTTGGCTGGAGTTGGAGCACCAACTGCGCGTTAGGTCGCGGTTTATGAGTGATACAGCAAGTAAATCTATCGGCAAAATCGATACTTCGTTGCTTTCGGGCCGAATTCTCTCTAAGTTTAGAAATTTGCGGCTTACAGTCGCACTTAAATACCTGTTGTAGCAGACTACCAAGAAGTGTCGCAAAATGCAACAACAAGATTCAACAGACCCTCGTTGTGTAAACATGTCGACACCATAAGAATCATTCATTTAAATATTTAAGATACAGTTCAGGCAATTAGCTTAGACTGTCCCGCCTTACCGTTCCAAAAAATGAGAAAGAAATTAATTTATTACAAGATAGATTGCAAGATGAGCACCTAACGTTGTAACACACCGAAAAAATTGCTTGAAATTGTTATTTTGATTTTCTAATAAATAAAGGATTACTTTATTGAAACTTACTTTAAACTGCTGTTAACAAAATATAGTTTTATATGTTGTTATTTAAAAAGAAAATAATAAAAGTTTTACACTTTATATTTTAAGTTGCTTCTATTGCATACAGTTTATATTTCAACCAAACCAATGGGCGCCCATACAATCTCTTGTCCACTCCGTTTGACAAATCCAGCACCACTCAAATCCACAACCGGATCGCGTACATACCATATGCATACAGCCGCCATCCCGTTCAGTAGCAGTGCGGCATTTAGGACAAGGTTTTGTTAAGACTTTGATTGTTACATTGCTAGCCTCATCCCAACGAGCTTCAGCGGCACGCTAAAATGTTAATTTTCTAATTCTTTAGAAAGTTCTTAACATGCACGACATGACATATGCATATATATATATATGGATATATTTACATTAGGATCGACCGAATATTCACAAGAACTGGAATCTCCATCATTTACACTATCAGGAAGACAATCGCCTAAATGGTAACCTTGCAGACAATTCCGGCAAAAAACGTACTAAAATTTTCAATATTTACTGAAAAATTAAAGAATATATCAATTAAAATTAGAGAATATATCTTACTCCACATCCGTTCTGACAGGTAACCTTCTTACAATCAGGGTCCACCAACAAGCCCATCCCACATCCTGGCTGTGGACACAAAACGCCACCGGCCTGCAGCACATATTCTTCTGTAGCGAAATGTTGGTATCTATCGTATTCTTCACGTATCAGCAACTTGAAATGATGTATTTCTTCTATAAATGAATTCTCACAACCTGCGGGACATGACAGAGTATAACCAACATCTGGATGCGGCATAAATTGTCGTTCTAATAACCGTGAGCGGCAATAGTGCAAAAAACAATCAAGGCATGTAACATGTTTTGAAGCGCAGGGAAAAACTAGCACTATCTCACTGCCACAACATTCAGAAATTATTTTTTTTTCCATTAAATTGCGGTTTCTGTTCCATGTTTACCTTATATCAGTGCAAGCTAAGCAGGGGACACCTTTAGTATTCATTTTGACTAGATTTAATGGAGCTGCAAAGTCTTTTTCCCCGCCAGAGACATGTTCGGCGCACTTAAAATAGAATTCTGCACACGGCGGATCGCCATTGTTATCCACGCAAGCAATTTCGTAAGATTCACAATGACCGCGTATGCGACGGCACTTCAGTACATCATCCCAACACTCGGGATCGCGATGCACAGTAAAAGCACCACCTTTGCACAAAGAACAGCGTACGCGCAATTTACCTTTGCATAGTTTATTACACTGGGAGCAGTGTACAAAAAAGTGAACCCTCTCATGTTCACACACTATAGACATATTGCAAGGAATTTTTACTTGTCAATCATATCATCGTTAAACATGCGTAAATACCTGTCCCTGGTCCCTGCACTTTTTCTTCATTTTGAAATTGAACGTCTAATAAAGTTTCGCATAACGGTTTCGAAGGCACCTCTTCAGGCGTAACCTCCTCTTCTGCCACCATGGAGTGCATAGATTTTCTTTGTTTGGCAGATCTTGCACGCACTTGCACAGCATGTAAGATGCTTTGTTGTCCTAAATCGCATTCCTACTGAGAAATAAAGAGATTTTGCACGTCTTGCATAACTAACTCCTTAAAGGGCTAAATGAAAATTCTAAAGTAATTTTGTAATTTTTGCAACTTCCTTATTGCTCTCATAAAAGCAACTAGCTTTAGTTGAAGTTTTCGTATCTTTGTTGTATATCTGCTTTCTTTTGCGACTGTGATACCGTTAAAACTAAGAAAGGAAGCAATACAATTAAGCGGACTGCCGCGTTCTTGCTTTGGTCGGCAATCCATAATCCATAAAGCCTACGAAATCTTCGATGATAAATTGATTTGTTATTTAGAATAAAATACTTAATACGCTCACATTTTTAGAAATGGGATTATAACACATGAACGATAAAAACTAAAAAAATGTTGAAAAGTTTTCTACTTTTTTACTCATGCGCTCGAACTGCTTTTCAATGTTAGCAGTATTGTACAAACGCTCCTACTCGCTGACAAAAATGTACTCACGACTTTGTGCTCTTTCTCAAAGTGGATTAATTTTTTTAGAAATTATTCGGACAGATAAACTTTTCACTTGATGTCTGAATCTTTGTCATCTTGAACATACCGCTAAAAACAACGAACAAAATTAATTCGAAGCATATTCTGTTTAAGCGTATGATGTATTTATACCATTTAAGGCACTTTTCCCATTGAATGCATCAACATCAACAGAGATCAAACATCAACAATATTCCGCTACGAAAAAATTAGTTGTTTATCATAATAACGGTAATAACGTACACAGGTATTTATTGGTGGACATATGAAAAAGAATTGTAAATAATTATGCACTTAAATGAAGGCTTCTGACCTCAATTGTCGTGGCATCACTGAGTTCTTTACCAGCGAATATAATCTTCACTTCATATGGTTGTAATCCCAACTGAGGTGCGAGAATTTCCTTTACGTTCTTTATATCCCATTTAGGTTCTAAATTGACCGACAACGTGCGACCAGTATTTGTTTTCACATATATATTCAAAGAATTAGTAATACTTCTTCGTCCAAATAACAATAATTCCAGCATTTTATTAAAAAAAGCCTTTAAGATGTTCAATATAAAACTCATTGAAATGTTCACTTTTTACTTCTACAACATTTGTTATTATTTAATAGAACGAAAGAACCGTAAATATTTTGCAACGCAATATGCTATTGAAACAGCTGATCACTAAAAAGCGTTGCAGAAATAGCGCATTTCTTCAAAAATGGCATGTTTTTTAAATATGCAGCATCGTTTCAGATCCACGAACTTGTGGTATTACCTCCTTCTTGAGGAGCTTTTCAGCCTTCGCCAATCAATGAGTAAAACAATTCGTTAACCTTAATATCCTCCCTAATGACGTTCCTTGTCAAGCATTATTTGGATTAATGGATTCTTTCAGTGGTTTTTCATTAATAAATTTTTATTGTGCGTAATTTGTTAACTACCAAAGAAATAACGAAAACATAAAAAACGTTGAAATTGTATATGTTGAAAATAACCATTCGTCGTTGAAATCCTTTTCTTTTAGGAATAATGATGGATTATTATCCGCTTCATCTATTGGCATTTCGGAAGGATCCTCATCATTAAATTGGTTCAAATCATCATTGGGCTCAAGGAATCGATTGAATCATAACATTTTCTATGGAATATTCTATATTATCGTTTTCTATTTTCACTACAACATGTTCGCAAAATGAAAACTATTGATAAACGGTGATTTTATTTTGTAAAACAATTGGTTGTGAAATGTGTAATGTTTTAATTTTTGTGAACGTGGCCGGTGCAGACGTGTACAGCTGTATGGTATAGTTTGGAAAAAAAAAACAACGTTTAACTGGCCCCACGTTAGGCGCCATTTGTAACGCAATTTTTTTGGTAGGCGACCTGTCGTCTGTCCGATACGTCATCCGTGGGTCTTTTCTTCGTCCGTCTGTATCTGTCTAATGTCCCTCTACCTTTCCTCACGCGCTCACCCTCAACGCATCCTAGCTGCTGCGGTAGCACGCTCACTTTAGCCGCTCATCGCGGTACATATGTAACCAGAAACCAACCAAAAATAAAAGGGGTAAATACCTGCACTTTCCTTATTCAGTAGCAGCCCGGCCCTTACTGCATTTTGTCCAAACGAAAAGATCCGCTGCGCTTCCTTACCCTTCCTCCAGTAAGCACATGGTGTGGTCATAAACAGTGGTTTTATCAAATATTTTCAAAACACCCTCCAGCTTTTCTTTTACATCTATTTTTGGTTAAACCGAGTTTTTACACGTTTGCTCGAGAATCAATTCATTAGCAATTCTTCTCAAACGTCGTGAATGTTCCTAGTTTTTCACTTTGAGTAAGTTAGATTCTTTGGAATGTTTCACTTCTTCATACCTTGATTCGTTTCATGGGCAATTTCACTGATAGCTTTGTTTTCCTTTGGTTCATTACAAATTTTGACAATCATTTTCACATGTCTCAACATGTGAACCTAAAAACTCTTTCATTTCTCTAGTAGAACCAAATTCATTGTTTGTGTTTTCTTTGTTTCGTTTCTGATTCGTTTTGTTTCTCGTTAATGATATAAAGGCATTTATATGTGTTAAAAAAGAATGGATCACTTAATGCTTTTAGTCGTAACTAAGGGTATGTGTATTTAATTTATTTATATACCTATATAAATATGTATGTTATTTATTTCTTTCAACATGTACGTAAGTAGTTTATTTAATGACTGAATAATGGTAAAAAGGTCATCTAATATTTGCCATTATATTCACATATCGTTTCTTTTTATATTTCTTACAAAGTGCTGATCTTAATATTTGTTAGATTTTATTTCTTTACTTCTTCGTTTAAACCATAAGAGAAAGAAAAGTAAAGCAGTAGAAAAACTTTAAAATTTTCTTCTCTTAAAAGTTTCTTTTTTTCTTTCTCTTTCTTTTCGAGAATGTTATTAACAAATACTCAATACGGTATTATGCTTATCTTTTTCGTTTTAGCTTTGCAATACCACCAATTCCGTATACTTTTTTCTTATACATATTTTCCTTTTTTTTTCTTTTCATTTTACAAAGGTATATGCTTACGCTTTTCACCTGAGTTATTTAAAACATTTTTTCCCCTTTTTTTTTCGTTGAAAACTTTTCTTTAATATTTTATTTCGAAATTTTCTCAGCTCTTATCTCGCTCAATGCCTCATATTGAAAATAGATCAAACTGTTCATGTATGTAATGTATCAAAACATTTTTGTTCCTATGTGCGTTTATGACACAACACTTCTTAGGTGCCACTAACTTTGTTTTTGTTATGTGTAAAACCGTCTACAACTTACAACATACTGTATTTTTTCTTTTTATATTTTGATTAAGCATATTCTTTACAAAGTTTTTATTTTAGAGTTATAACTTGAGATGCGATTTGAAAAAGATCTGCGGAATTGACGATGCTGCGCGTTTGGCTGTTCTTACGAGACTCTCTTTAGCAGACAAATCAATCAAGGTAAAACCTAATCTCTTCCCATGATTTACTTTTTCCTTTTTTTTTCTTTTTTTTTTGCGTTGCTACCTAGCGGCTAGCCGCTATTCTTACAAAAAAAAAAAGGAACAAACCTCAAAATCACGCGATGTTATATAACGGCATGCCGTTATTGTGACTCTTGCGGTAAAAGCAGACTGAACAACCCCCTCCTCTGAATTTTACTCGCGGACGTTACAAGTGTTAATAGAGGATTATGAAAAGTTTAAGCAGAAAAAATTATTTTTGGTGTTGAGGTCAATAAGAAAAAAAAAGGAATTTTGTTTTTGATCAATACGGAATAATGTGGAAAGCTATTGGAAAAGGATGGCCTTGTTTTCTTAGCAAATAATTGTGAAGTGAGAAACCGGCTGATAATTTGTTCATCTCACTAATTTAAGAAATCAGTTTTTACTGTGTATTTTGTAATAAAAATTAAAAACAAAATTAAAAATTCCTTAAATATTAGAGAACAGAAAAAATAATAACGAAGAACAAAAAAAAAAAAGAATTCATTAAAAAGAATAAATAGACACAAACTTAACAACTTGGCAAAGTAAATGCCATTGGAACATAAAAAAATTAACCAAAAAAAAACTTAGCAGTTTTGTGCACTACTAGGATACAAAATGTTAATCGCCGATAGCAAATATGATACAGAAATATCAAGTAATTTAAATTTTAATGTATGTAAAAGTAAAAGTGGTATTTACCAAAAATATGTTTGTGGAGTATCAGTACAATAACCGAGTCGAAATGTTCGTTAAGAGCATGCTAATAAAAATTAAATAACTAAATGAAAATTCAACTAAAAAGAAAAACAAAACTGTCTATGTACATAAATAAATATTCGGCTGCGGCACGTCATGTAATACAATAACCTTTTGTTTTGTCTTTTTGTTTTTATTAATGTTCATTCTTTATTATTGAACTCTCTTCTTGAACTGCAACCGCAGCTACGGTTTAAACAAATTTAATTATCACCATTTCAAATATGTATGCAATGATCAACACTAAAGTTTGAAAAGATCAAGATCAAGAGTAATAAGAGTACGAGATGTTGAAGGTGAAATTGTCATTTTCTTGGATTCACACATAGACATGAATAAACAATGGGGTGCACCTTTATTACCCGTTTAAGCGAAATAATTGCTTAACAAAACCGTCTGTTTTCAGCAAGCCTCATATCGACGATTCCAAAATTCTCGGTGCATGTAAAAGGTAGTTTTAAATATTGTGGTTTAACCATTTTAATATAGTTAAATCTCTACTTTTAAACTATCAAAGAGAATGAAAGCAGAAACAAAGGCTTTTTTAATTTTTCAAAAAATTGCAATATATCGTCATTATTACCATATTGGTACTTATTACCAAAGATTTTGTTCGACTAATGCGCATTTCAAAATCAAGAAAGCATTATATATATAAGCAACATTTGCGCAGCAAAATTATTAAACACTAGATCAAGACTTTCCGTAAAAACAAACGATATTAAGGACCGTAAGAGAGAGTAAATGAACTGAAATGAGAGCATTTACTGAAATTTATACGACGGACGCTACGCTATGACGTTTGGAATCGTCCCGCGCGTGAGCGTATTCGCGGTTACGCAGAAATATTTGCGTGCTGTTGAGCGTACGTTTGCTTAAGAGATTGTAAGTAAGCGTACACCCAAAATTTTATTATAATTATTTCCAATTTCCGTATTTTCACCAATATTCAATTTTGCCAAAATGTCATTTATACAAAAATAACTTGAGTATGATCCGGTGAGCAATCGAATGCAGCACTTCAGGTAAATTCGCGCTCCAACCACACACAGTTCTTGTAGTTGAAACTGTTATGTATTGTTCATGCGATCGATATCCGATCTGCAAGGTCATTTCTTCTCGACACAATTTCATCGAGTTAGAAATTTACAGATCAGGCTTTTTGTAGTAGTTCGATCGCAAAAGTGCAGATTTCACGGTGGAACAAAGGTATGAGCACCATCATAACTTTTTTGTAATAGAGTAAAAGACGAAGTGCAAGAAAATATTAAAAAAATATAAAAGGAAATTCAAAACTGTCGACTTGTGTTTTGAGTAGTGCGTGCTTTCTTTGTCGTCTGCAATTTTTTATATTGTTTTCGGTGGTTTTGTGGTCTAAATATAATAAAAAAAAAACCAAAAAAACAAAAAGGAAAAATAAAAAACTGAAGACAAGTTACATTCATGACTCTGTTTCGATTCTACGTGATGGTAATTTACTTGTCCTCGAAATCATTAACTAATTTATATGCTATTTCCGCTAAATTGTATGACAAAATAAACTCGGTTTAAGGTGTAGTTTATGCCCCATGCTTAAAGCATGTGCCGGAAGATGAAATTGTTCGCGAAATGGGCAGTCAAGGAGTGACTGAATTCCACAAATTCAACAATTAAACGACGGTGGAAAACCCCGATCTCCTACAGGAAGGATTATTTTGACTTTTGACCGCTATCGGCTACCGCCAACTGTTGATATAGCTTGGTATAAATGTAAAGTAGGACTCTACATTCCAAATCCTATGAAGTCTAAAAACTGCCAACGCCTGGGTCATACGGCAAAAAGATGCACCAATACTCCATCTTGCGCTAACTGTGGTCTTCCTCCACATGATGAAAACTATACGCGTAGCTTCTGCTTAAATTGCAATGATCAGCACTCGACGTTTGACAAACAATGCCCACGTTTTACACAAATGCGTGAAATTCTAAAAATCAAAACAGAAAATTACT